GAAGGTACCTGGCACTCACACCACATGCCATCTGTTCAGAAAGGTCAGCATGATTTGCTTTTCCATTCTACATCTGCCTTGAGCATTGTTGCATCATTACAGAAGCCCAATTGCCCGTGCCTGACTTGGCAGGGCTCAGCACACGGGCCTGAAGTCACCTGCTGGCACTCTCCCACAGGAGAAGACCCAGAAGGCTCATTAGTGCTTGTTTTCCAACACTTCCAGCTGGCTCTATGGTGTTTCATTCCAGTGGCTGCAAACCCATTTATTCCTGCATTTAATCCTCTCTGTTCCATGGAAAGACTGAAAGACAGGGCCTGGGATCCCAGTTTTTCTGAAGCCAGCTCTACTACTGAACTTCTGTGGGTCTTGGCCTAGACCCTCAATCTCTCTGGATTCAGTCTTCCTGCTCAAAAAACTAGTCTCTGTTAATATGGTATACAATGGTCTTTTCAGTGCAACATCAGGATATCCCAAGGGGAGTTCTAGCGCTAAGGTTATCATCATCATGGCCTTTTAGAATTGTGCTTTCGACCACCTTGAGCAACCTCTCTTCCCAACTCCCCTCCTCTGCACCACAGGTAGGATTTCATTGGCACATCTGACTCTCCAGCTTTCCAAAGGTCTATGGTCATTTCAGAAGAGGCCAAAGCTTGGGAAATCAATTTATAGACCTCATGTGTCTGTAGGCTTTGGTCCTCAAAGGAATTTCTGGGGTATTTGAGTTCTCTGAAAGAGCACCATGCAATAGGAATGTGCAACCCTGGGCTCTTCCCCATTTTCCCTAACTCATTAGGTGACTTAAGACAACCTGCCATGGGAGATAAGATTGCTGAGCAGATGAGTTATGTGTTTACAAAGCCTAGACAAAGTGATCTTTCAGGCAACTTCATTTTCTACAAATCTTGCAAGTTCATATAGAACTATAAGATTCATAATAGATTGTCCCTGGAGCTAACATGTCTGTGCTGCCACTACAGGTGTATGAAACTCTGAAAGTGTGAAGAAACATCATCCTCCATTGGGTAGCATAATGTGTTCACAAAGACTTCACAATTGAGCTAGCACTCACTTCTCCCGCACTGCAAAAGCCTGGCAATGGACGGTTGAGTCTTCCCAGTTGTTAGAATAAACTAGGAGGGCCTTTCTAGATCATCCAGTCCACACTGCTTTTCATATAGATAGGACGTTAGAGCTCAGAGAGGGCTGTTGCAGGATTGTGACTCCTGTGCCATCAACTCAGCTAGTACGTGTAGCCTCTTCACATTTCCCCCACTCTGGTGTTCTGTTCTTCAGACTAAACTCCTCTAAACATCACAGTCAGGTAGGAAATGAAAGAGGCAGGAGTATATTGTGCTTCCTATGCTCCAAGTCTTCAAAATTTCAGAGACATTGCAGGATCCCAGCTGTGGGCAATAGCATCTATTTACAAGTCTTGGCTGCCTTTCTTCATAACCAAAAGACAATGTCGTATGAAGGAATCACAAGGTGAGGAAGAGACTCAAGTCACACCCACAAAACATTGATATAGCCCTTGACAAGAGCCTCATCACCCCCTAGAGAAGCCCACCTCGTTTTTGACATCACTGACTGTTAACTCAGAGTGTGACTTGGGCATCCCTAGTGTAAGTCTTTCTGTGGCTGCATCTGAGGAATAGGGGTGAGAGCAGTGTCAGCCATTAGCTGAGGACTTCATCTCCTTCAGCTTTTATTCAGAACCTTTGTGTTTTGGCTCCACACCCAGTTGCACTGTCTTCCTGCTGACAGTCTTGTCAAATGTTACAGGACAAAGATTGTGCTGTACTCTGAGGTCTGGTACAAGTTCAACAGCCCCATGCCCCAACAGCTCCTCTAGTGTGCTACTTCCAGCCCTTTCTCCTAACCAGCTCTGGCAACATCATTCTTGAATGGGGCTGTCCATGTTTTTCTTTTAACTTGAAATCATCTAAAAGATTAAGAAAAACTAAAATATGGCATGTCATTTGACTTCAGGAAATGCAAATGCTTCGAAATAAGGAGTTGTTTTTTCCACTCTTGGGTTTCTCAGAATTACAACTGAGGTCACCCCACTAAACATGTGAAGACCAAAGGGGGGAAAAAACAACAAAAGTACCTGCATGTGTAAGAAACAAGCCTGGACTTGTACTCCTACAGCCACCTGTTTACTAAAGCTCACCTGATGCAATGCCAGCACGGTAGCACTTCAGCCAATAAGCAGAGCCTGTTCTTGGCATGATACTGTGCCCTCAACCCAGAGGGTAGGTCTTATCCCCCATCTAATCTCACCTGACCTGCAGAGCCCCTGGGAGAATGAGGTCTTGTTTTTTTCTACCCTAGGAGAAATGCAAGCCCTGCATCCTTATTTGCCTCATTCAAGCTCTAAGTACTTGCATGGTATCCGAAAAAGGACATAAGAGAGATGGACTAGATAACTCAATTCAACAAACATTTACAGATAATCGTCTGGGCCAGGCAGAGGATACACAAACAAGAGAGGAGGCAAACAGGCCAAAAAGAGGGAAGTATCAGAGAAAGTATCTCACAGGAGATGAATGCCAGGCAGCTTCAAGTGATGAAAAACTTTTCCAGGAAGGCAGGGAGCCCAGTAGTAGGAACGGCAGGTGTCACAGTGCCATGAGAAATCAACATGGTATGTCTGGGGGCACTGCAAGCCTCAAACTTCAGCAGAGTCAACAATCCACTCTGGAAGTCAATTAGCTTTTAATGTCTCAGTTTCCTTATGTACAAATAGGAAATAATTGGAGAACCTCTTTCATAGGGTAATTTGGAGAAGGAAATGAAATAATTCATGTAACAAGTTTAGAAGAATATCTAGAAAATAGCCATTGTTCCATACATATTACTTACTATTCCTATTAGTATCACTGCTACTGCTACTACTATTACTATTACTGTTGAGATGTAGAGTGAAAGGGAAAAGGGAAGGTGAGGCATTAGACTGCAGAGCTCGGTAGGGATCAGAACATGAGGGACCATGAATGCCATACACAGGAGGTTGAGTCTGTTCCTGCAGGCAATGGCAGTCAGGAACAGATTCCAAGCAAAGAAATTCAGTCAGAGATGTCTCTGGTAGCTCCTTCTAACTTAATGTTCCACATCCCCAAAAGAGGAGGCTGGGCCACTTTCTAAACATAGTCACAGTCCATTAGGAGAATAAGCAGCCCTCGGTATGTGGATCCTGAGCTGTAGCAGGCAGGACCAGAACATTAGTTGGGGGATGAATGAGGAATGAGGTCAAGAGAATGGCAGCTGGCCCTCTAGCCCTCACTTGCCACCAAGGGCAGCTTGGCCTAGACCAAGGTCTACACAGGTCAGATGAGGATGTGAACTGTCCCCTACTTGTGCAGGAAGGGAGGGGCGGTCTCCAGCAGTGAGCTTATTCAGACAGCAGAGGGAACTCTTCATTAACTTTCAATCACTCCAGGGCCATGTGGAGCCATGAAGACCTGGAGGGACCTTCCCCAGCCTGATCAGAAAGGGTAATGGGGAAGGTTACGAGCCCAACAGACACAACTGGGATATACAGTGAGAAAACACACCAGGGTGTGGCCACTCTACTAAATGGACCTCTGGCTGCCTGATCACAATGGATGGGGCTCAATGGTCATCTTTGGTGACATTGTTGAAAATATGTCATCAGGTTGAGAGCTCTAAGTTTTTTTAATTTATTTTTTATTTTTTTGACAGGCAGAGTGGACAGTGAGAGACAGATAGAGAGAAAGGTCTTCCTTTTGCCGTTGGTTCACCCCCCAATGGCGGCCATGGCTGGTGTGCTGTGGCTGGCACATTGTGCTGATCCGAAGCCAGGAGCCAGGTGCTTCCTCCTGATCTCCCATGCGGGTGCAGGGCCCAACCTCCACTGCACTCCCGGGCCACAGCAGAGAGCTGGCCTGGAAGAGGGGCAACCGGGACAGAATCCAGCGCCCCGACTGGGACTAGAACCCGGGGTGCCGGCACCGCAAGGTGGAGGATTAGCCTATTGAGCCGCGGCGCTGGCCAAGAGCTCCAAGTTTTACAGATAGGAAAACTAAGCCTCCAAGAAGAGAAGGGATTAGCTATGAATATTTGAATTCATTGGCTATAGTGAGAAATCTATAGCTCTATTCTTTATATATAAAAGTTACTATAATAAAGCAAAGGCAAGCTACTGTCACTGCTGAATATGAGTGTATGAAGTATACTTTTATTGCTTAAGTACATAATGACCTATGCCTCTGCATTTGCCTCTGTTAAGGAAGGTCCAGATAGTAGATGTCCTGCTAAGTTATCCTGATCCTATGTCCTCTTATAATTGAATTCAAAGTTGTATTTGACCTTCAAAGTCTACCAAGGAGGAAACTTGGCATCTGGAATCAGATGGACATGGGGAATCCCAACAGTAATGTAGACATGTTTGGCCTTGAGTGTATCATTCACTAGCTCTAGGAATGAAGGTTACCTCAGCAGGGTTAGTCTGGTAACTAAATTAGCTGATACAGGTAGAAGTACCCAGACTTGTAGCTGGTGCACAGTAGGTAGGATATCAGCAATTACTATTGGAATGATATAGTAGTATTATCATTCTGACTAGCACTGCCTCACATCGGACTGTGTATTTAACCTGGCTGGTCCCCTGGGTTTTCGCCATCTGTAAAAGGGACTCAACAATACTCCTCCTCATAGAGTTACCACCAAGATTAAGGTGAAATATTTAGGGTAACAGGAATGGCACCTGGTACATTATAGGAACTCATGTCCTAATGTTTTACTCTCCCCACTCCTACAGTCTCCTGTAAAAGCTCAAGTGGATGCAATCAATAAAAGCAAAATTTTAAAAATTCTAAGATACTTGATGGCAAAATGAGAACTAGCAAGATTCCTCTGGAGCCTCCGAAATGAAAACATGACCACTGTATCCATCAAAGGGTCATGGAAAAGCATCTGCTAGCTCCAATCCCCAGAGCAGCAAGATATTTAATGTATAATCTCTTTGTCTTTAGGAAACTGCTCCGAAGACCTCTTATGTATCCTTAAAAGGGCCCCATTCAAGAAGTCATGGGCGTACCTCCAAGGTGAGTAATGAAACCCAGGAAACCTAACCAACCGAGGGCCACTTCCTGTGGCCTTTTAGCCACTGTTAAGCCAGAAGCCACAATTACCAAGCCATGTCCAAATGTGACCTGCACATGTGTTCTCTTTAGCCTGCCTTACTATTTTATCATTTGAATTTGAATGCCCTCAGACGCAGAAGAGAATTATAAGAGCCTGTTCCTGCTCTTCTTTTCTTAGCCCCACTCACTTTTGTTGCCTACCTGTCCTCAGAAGGAACTGTGTCTCCTACTTCCCACACTTCTCTCTATTCAACTACCTACCAGTTTCTGCCAAGCATACAGCTCCTTCCCCTAGTGCCACAGAAGCAGGCTCTTAATCTCTGCCTCTCTGCAGTTATTCACAGGGGAACTGCAAAATTGCCTTGTCCCCAGATTGACAGCTTAATGAACATGTTGGCACAGGGCCTATTTGCATACTTCAGTATGCTTCAGGTAAGAGGCTCCTTATAAATGAAACAATAAGAAACACTGCAAAAGAATGAGATATGGAGATGGCCAAGATTCTCTGAATAGCAACTCTGCTCATTTTAAAAATTCAATTTTGCAGTTGGATTAGTTCTCACTCTTCAAATGAATTGCAAGAAGGTTGAAAGAGAAAGTATAGAAGCAATTAAAACTAGCATACCCGTTTCCCAGCTCTGAAAGGCACCCTTACCAGTCAGTGCTAATTTTCATTTGCTAAGACTCAGAGACTTGGCTTCCAGCACACACACATAGATTTGCAGGGTCCAATTCTCTGCTTTTCTATAAATCCCAGATGGCAGGAGCCCCTTAATGTGTACGTGAGAGGCCTACACAGTTGTTAAAGGCTACATTCAAAGATCCACACAAGAACAGTTCAAGAATAGTGTAATGTGAAAGTTAGTGGAGAGTCCTCTGAACACCTTGATGTCTAACTTGGTTCTTAGTTGCACAATATTGAATTTGCTATCTCTGATGCTCTGTGCATTGCCTACTTAATAGTAGTTTCCCACCAAATTTTCTTCATGATAAATGAACATGATAGTCCAGACCTTGTGAAAAATACTCAGAGTTCAGGATCTTATAGTCTGTAAAAGGAAAGATAATACTGACAATAATAGCACAATAATATTATGATAATACTTAAGTAGGAAGCCATTCTATAAGAGGTAGCTATGTAGTCATGTTCTGTGACCCTCTAGCTTTGAGTATCAGAGTAAAGAAAGACAGGTGATTTTCTACCCATGCCTTAAATAATAGAAGACCCTGAAAGGATTAATGTGAAAGCAATTCAATTGGTTTGAAGAATAGGCACATTATAAGAAATATGGATCTAGAATGAGGCACCTTGAATAAAAACAGAGGTTTTCAACCTAAACCTGCAATTTTCTCAATAATTATTTTTCTTATATTCCCAGTGTCCAAGCATCTCAACAGCACCAGGTTGTCTTGGAACAAAGATGGCATTGTCCATGGAGTCACATACCATGACGGGAAGCTGGTGATCCAGTTCCCAGGTTGGTACTTCATCATTTGCCAACTGCAGTTTCTTGTGCAATGTTCAAACCATTCAGTGGACCTGAAGTTGGAGCTTCTCGTCAACAAAGAGGTCAAAAGAGAAGCCCTGGTGACAGTGTGTGAATCTGGACTGCCAACCAGAGAGATATACCAGAATCTCTCTCAATTCTTGTTGGATTACTTGCAGGTCAATGCCACCATATCAGTGATGGTAGACAAATTCCAGTATGTGGATACCAACACCTTTCCTCTTGAAAATGTGCTGTCCATCTTCTTATATAGCAGTTAAGAGCAAACAGTTCTCTTGGCCTTCAGGAAGAAAACAACTCTCTATCATACAGTATTTCATCTACCCAAATACTTGGGCAAACAAAACTTTTAGACCAACTCTGAAACTGCATGTTAAATTGCACATTTCTCCTTCTGTCTCTTGGGAAGATACAGCTCTAGGGTTAAAAAGAGTTTTGAGTCAAGAATCTTTCAGATAGAAGGCAGGAAAGGAATGTGGTTGGTAGACAGAGCCCCACCTGGGAAGCAGAGGGAATGGCTATATGGCCTGCCCAACCACTAATCCACTGGATGACCTTGAGCCAATCCTTTCTCTCACTTGAACTCAGGATCCACGGGAGGCTGGGTATGAATCTCTCCAAAGTCTCCTCCATCTCATCAAGCTAAGCTTGCAGGCAGGGTTCTAGAAGCACTGAACTACAGGAAGGCACCCATACCAGTATAAAACCAATGGTACCAGGAGCATCTGGCTGCCTATCAACTCGACAGAATGAGACCATGGGCATATATTCAGGGTGCCCTGAATAATGGTGGGAATTGCAGGATCTGCAACACAAGCTGACCCTCACGTGGGTATTTAGAAAACCATCTGACAAGATCTGACCCCATGCCAGTTAAGAATGACAATAAGTCAACAGCAGACAGCTTTTGCTTCCTGCCGGGAAAGTGCCGTGCATTCAGCAAGCATTCCATCTGTGTGTCATGGTCAAGGTGATGCCGTCAGTCAGGGAACAGCTGTTGCCATCTCCTGAATGGTGCATTTCTGTTCGCTGCCTCCAACACCCCTTAGGAAACCAGTTCTGTGGAGGAGGGCTTTTGTGTTCCCCTAAAACTGTCAATAGACAATGATGACCCTGAGAATGATGAGAAGGACTTATGAACAAGAGCAGCCTCCTCTCCTCAAGAAAGTAGTTGTGAGTCTTCTCCAGCTGCATCCAACTTGACATCTCTGTGTCATCATGGCAGGAGCCCCTTATTTGCTGCAGGATAGTGACAAGGCATCCGAGTTAAAGGGAAAGCCCCTGAGGTTAGGCATCAAAAGGAAAAGACGAATTCTCGACTGCTATTCCAAATAATGCAGCAAAAATTGCATTTTCATCAAGAAGAAAGAATAGAAATTCAGCAGTGTTAGAGAAATGCTGGCAAAGATTTAAAGGCAAAACCACCAGTTGTGGTATGGATGAGAGGGATGTGGCAAAACAAAGATGGATAAGGGAAAACTTTTAAGACATTTGCTGAGCAACATGCTACATCAGGCTCCTCCTAGATCTCCTCTCTGAAAGATTCAGTGAAGTCTATGTGTCTCTTCATCTTTTCCTGAGAGTAGATTCTTTGGGAAGAGCAGGCATTGAAAGAGAAGCTGATTCAGCAAGCCTACTGGTGAGCAGGCCAAAGGGAGGACTCAAACTTGGAGAGCAAGGGGACTTCTGCATGTGAATAACACACCAACTGTGTAGACAAATGAGATACCTGAGCCAACTCCTGCATTATGGAAAATGTATAGACAACCTAAGTGTGTGTAAACTTTTGCAGATGTGCTAATAATATCTTGCATTCTAACTTGAGAAAGGTGCCATTTTCACTGTTCACCAACCATTCTCTGAACAGAGGGACTCACTTTTGTACCAGGAGTGTTCCTAAACTTGGTGTCTATCAAGCAATGTTCATAAAGCCAGCATGCAAGGGCACAAGAGGCATGTCATTTAAAAGAATAACAGCAGGGACAGGCATTTGGCCTAGCAGTTAAAAATACAGTCAGAACAACTACATCCCACATTGGAGTATTAGGCTCAACTTCCAGCTCTGGCTCTTGATTCCAGCTTCCTGCTAAGGTGGACCCTGGGAAGCAGTGGTAACCACTAAAGAAGTTAAGTACCTGTCACCCATGTGAAAGGTCTGAATTGAGTTCAACTCCCAGCTTTGGCCAGGCCAAGCCTTGACCATTGTAGGCATCTGGGGGAGTGAACTGCCAGGGGAGAGTTCACTCATGCACTCTCTCTCTGTCTCTCTGTGTGTGTGTGTGTGTCTGTCTGTCTGTCAACTTAAAACAAGGTCTACACTAATTCTGTAAATATAAACTGGAATCCCTTTTTTAAGAAAAGACAGAGAGGTTAAGAATAATAATGTAACACAACAAGAGAGAGTAATTATTAAGTCAGCAGACAGATACACATAGGGAGTGGATAATTCAAGAAGTATAAACTAAATCCAGTTACTCTTGAAGGTTAACCAGCCCCTCATAATGTTATGAGCAAATGACAGCATTTATGCCAGGAGAATAAATTATGTATCTGATTGGGAACTCAGAATGCCTAGAATGCATGGCTCTTTGATAAAAACTCAACTTGAGGCCACCAACTCAGCACCCCTTCCTCCCACTCCTCACTCAGCTTCCAGTACCACACACAGGAGATGTGCAGAACTTGTGGAGGAAAGTGATCAGTACACTGATGAAAAATAACCAGGCAATGCAGATTCAATGTGCTTCTGCCCTTGGAAAAATCCTGGTGACTTGCTTCTCTACACGTGGTAACTTTGTCTTCACCAGGTCTACCCATCACCCCCTGATGCCTCCTGTAACTCCATTTGAGAATCCCCTGTTATACTAAAGATGGCTCAGAGAATGGCCCAGTGCCAAAGATGGTCAGATGTGAACAGGCACTAAAGGGACAACGTGCTGAAGGAGGAAGGAAAGAATTTACCAAACCAGACTTCCAGAATCATGCTGTCTTGAGGAGCAAAGCTCATAAATTAAAAGGTTAGAGAAGTGAGGCAGTGCCATTGTGGAATGATCCTGAGAGATCAGCTAAGTCCAGTGGAAGTCCTACTGGATGGAAGTCCAATAGAGAAAAACACATCAGGTCCTCCCTGTGGGTGGTAACAGATACGAACCCAGCCTCCTGACGCCTCTCTGCTGCTTCTCACCAGACTCTGTTGGGTCCTTCCTCTGCCCTTTCTGTAACCGCTCAGGTCACATCTTTCCAGCCCTACATCCAGTGACTCCTCTGCTCCAGAGATCCGAGGAATCCCAGCATCCTCTGCTCTTCCCAGCCCCTACCCCAATCCCAGTCATTTATATGTGAGATGTAAATACTCCCAACCTACTACGGATTTAGTACATGGTCAAACCACAGAAAAGGGTTAGGGTCCCACAACATGAAAGTTCTGTCTCTGGGACAGGCATTTGGCCTAGTGCTTAAGACATACATATCCCACATCAGAATACCTGGGCTCCACACCTGGCTCAGGCTCCTGACTACAGCTTCTGGTTGATGCACACTCTGGGAGACAACAGATGATGGTTCGAGGAACTGGGTCCCTGCCACCACATGGGAGACCTGGACTGAGTTCCTGATTCCCAACTTTGGCCTCAGCCATTGTGAGCATTTGGGGAATGAATCAGTGGGTGGGAGAGCACTCTCACTCTCTTTCTCTCTGATTTTTTTAAAGTTTTGTCTCTGAGAAATTGCAGATATATATAATCTGACTAATTTTTTCTAATAATGTAAAACTTGTTTTAATTTGAGGTTATGAATATATGTGCAGGCATATGTGTTCATATATGTATATGTGTTAATATGTATATGCATATATATGTGTATATGTTTATATACATATTTGTATGTGTGTATATGTACATATGAGGGTACTTCAAAAAACTTGTGGGAAACAAATTTAAAACACAAGTTTATTTTGTACAAAACCCATTTACATACATGCATGATGTTTTCACAATATATATTTTCCATGAACTTTTTGAAGACTCCTCATATACACATTTTCTCCTAGTAATTATTCTACAGATCATCTGCTTAACTTGGGGTCAGGGGAAAAAGCTGGATTCTTGCTGTAAGAATTATAAAATCTATATAAATTTATATTTATTTTTAAATATGAAGAGAACAGAAAATAGTATTTGTCCATGCCTTATCAGCTTATTTAATAACTATTAATATTTTTCTATATTTGCTTTTGCATCTTCTAAAAAACAACATGGTAGAGAGTGAGCTAGTTCCTCCATTCATTCCTCTACTCTACTCATTGATTATACAACCAATGCCTGGGAGTTTCTATGGCTCATCACATGCACAATTTTATTTGTTTTCCCATAAGGATACATAGTACAATGTTGTGTGATTGTTGAAAGTTTCAATAAACATCACCTTAAATAATATTTTGTGGCTTGATTTTTTAATATAACATCAAGTTTTTGAGATTTATCCAGACCGATACATGTAGATTCAGCTCGTTCACTGAATTTACTTATTGCATGAGTCTACCAGTGTTCATCTGTTTTCCTATGGATAAACATTTCATTTGTTTTCAGATTTTTGATATTACAGTGTTGTGATAATCACTTCTTCTTGTACAGCTCCAACCTTGATGCCATTTTCCTATACAGCAAAAATACTTTTAGAAAATTGTAAATGAAAAAACTTAAAAGTGGTTCCCCCAAAGGAGCAATGTTCACCATCACTAGTTAGGGTTTAGACCCCTCTGTGATCACAGCTTATGAGCTGAAGCTTTGTGTCTGGAATCTGAAGGGTTCTTTCCACCTTTTCTCAGAACCCCTGCTCTGCACAACCATTCAACACACACTTCCTGAGTGCCAGCATGGGGCCAGGCCCTGTGCCAGGTGCCAGTTTACAAGCCAGCATGGAGTGTGCTACGGCTCTGCCCCTGGCTGCAACATCAGCCCTGTTAACATGTGTTTGAAGCATGCCTGTCCAATGCATTCTGGAGGTCCCTAGACTCATCTCTAGAGAGCACATGAAAAACACCAGAGTCCTTGAAAGGCAAGTACAACCCCACAAGGAGATTTCTCCCCCAGGATCCAGTGTCTATATTGCTTGGGGTCCGCCCCAGACCCCATTCTCCTTTCACTCCATGATGTCTCCCCTGGGTGACTTAGCCCACTGCCATAGATTCCAATGACACATTTCTGCAAATGACTGAAAACTGTATCTCCAGCTTTGACTTTCTCTAAACCAAGCCCACAAATTTTCAGTAGCCATAATCCTGTCCCGAGACCTTGCAATGGAAGATTGGTGTTCAACGTCTAGTGTGGAGGCTTTCCAGATTTTTCTCTCCATTACCCAGAGGAAGAAACATCTTATGTTGCCAACAAGGACTAAAAAAAAAATGTTGTTGTGACCACCTGGACTGATTTTACTATGCACTCATTAGTTACAATTCAGTTTGTAAAACACTATTCTAATGTGCCTTCCTCTGCTCCAGACATTAGAAAGCTAACATATGTTCTCTCTATTCCCTTGCAGCTCAGACTGTAGTAGGGTTCAGCCTGAAATGGACAGGATTTTGCAATGCTTGGCCATTCAGCTGGCAAGCACAGCTGTGGAAGCATTTGTTTTTTCTGCAATTGTGTGTGCAGAGTTCCAGTGCTCAGACACTAGCTTGGTACTTAGGCGAGTCTGGGTAGAAGGGGAGGGGCATCCATTCTGCTGATGTGGTCTGTTGCTCATGCACATGGTTCTAGAATAGGCAGCAGCAGTGGCTTCCTGAGTGTAGTGGTTTCCTGTTCATGACAGCAACGTTGTTCTAGTGAAGCCAGTTTCCTGAATGTGAGATTATTGAAGAGACAACAAGGCTGGCTGCATCCAGGTTCATAGGTATGACAGTGGAGGTTGCTCCTGAAAGCTCACCCTGGATTCTGTTTCCTCAGCCCTCTTTTTTTTTAATATTTATTTATTTTACTTGAAAGTCAGAGTTACACAGAGAAGGAGAGGCAGAGAGAGAGAGAGAGAGAGAGAGAGAGATCTTCCATCCGCTCATTCACTCCCCAATTGGCTGCAACGGCTGAAGCTGTGCCAATCCGAAGCCAGGAGCCAGGGGCTTCCCCTGGGTCTCCCATGTGGGTACAGGGGCCCAAGGTCTGGGGCCATCTTCTACTGCTTTCCCAGGCCATAGCAGGGAGCTCAATTGGAAGTGGAGCAGCCTGATCTCGAACTGGTGCCCACATGGGATGCCGGCACTGCCGGTAGTGGCTTTACCCACTGCACCGCAGTGCCGGCCCCTCCTCAGCCCTCTTGACAATTCTGTTGTTTACTTCCCTGGGATTAATCCCTTCCAGCCAAACAAGCTGGGGTGAAGTCTGTTCTCTGCGGACTAAGGCATATAATCTCAACATGCGTAAATCAATCTCATGACACTCACCCTAAACAACACTTTACTGTTTTCCAGATCTCAAAGACCATCTCAGTCTCTCACAATCCTTAATTTATAACCAACTAACATCTGACCAATCCATGCAGTTCTCTATTCCCAAATGCAGGACCCTTAGCACTTCCCAACTCATACACTTTCCTCCAGTCTTATTCCTTACAAATGGCACCTCCAGAAAATAATACATGGTCACTCCCCATTGATCTTGGGACTGATGGTAACAATGCACATTTTTCATGCTCTTGTGTGTTATGTGCTTTTCACATACTCACTCACTTAGTTCCTGAGGCAGCTCTAAGAGACAGGCATTAATACCCCCATCCTTCAGACAGGACAAGACTTTGAGGATCCAGGATAGCAACCAGCATGGCCTACATCACACCAGGGGATAATAAAGCTGGGGTTCCAGGCTCCATCCCATGCTCCAATCACTAAGAACATAGTCTTCCTAACATGCAAGCTCTCTGACCCGGGACCTCTCTGCCCAGATCCTGCACCTGCACACTCCTGCTCGCCTCCACCTCCTAGTGGTCTCTGCTCAAGTCACATTGAACTTGTTCCATTTCCTCAAGCCTTCCGTGTTCTCCCTTGTATTTTTCTTTCAAGGACTCTGGTGTTTTTCATGTGCTCTCTAGAGATGAGTCTAGGGACCTCCAGAATGCATTGGACAGGCATGCTTCAAACACATGTTAACAGGGCTGATGTTGCAGCCAGGGGCGGAGCTGTAGCACACTCCATGCTGGCTTGTAAACTGGCACCTGGCACAGGGCCTGGCCCCATGCTGGCACTCAGGAAGTGTGTGTTGAATGGTTGTGCAGAGCAGAGGTTCTGAGAAAAGGTGGATTTCTGAGATGTTCTTCCTTCTGCCTGCACTACCCATTTCACTCCCTTGTGAGTGATTAACTCATGTCCTTATTCTGTCCACCATTTCAACGTCCTCAGGAAAGTCTTCCTCACTCTTCTGGCCTCACCTGATTCCTTGCTCGCTCTCCTCTGTCTCTGTACTTCCCTCCCCCCCCCCTTTTTTTTTGGACAGGCAGAGTGGACAGTGAGAGAGAGAGAGACAGAGACAGAGAAAAAGGTCTTCCTTTGCCGTTGGTTCACCCTGCAATGGCTGCCACAGCTGGCGTGCTGCGGCCGGTGCACCGCGCTGATCCGAAGGCAGGAGCCAGGTGCTTCTCCTGGTCTCCCATGGGGTGCAAGGCCCAAGAACTTGGGCCATTCTCCACTGCACTCCCTGGCCACAGCAGAGAGCTGGACTGGAAGAGGGGCAACCGGGACAGAATCCGGCTCCCCGACCGGGACTAGAACCTGGTGTGCCGGCACCGCAAGGCGGAGGATTAGCCTATTGAGCCACAGTGCCAGCCCATTTCCCCACCTTTGATCACATGACATTTCACTGTTCACACTTGGCACCCCCTCTGCTTCCCCTCCAACACCCAAACTCCCAGAAAGCAGGACCTCTACTGCTAAACTTCCCCAGACCAGGCCCTCACAGCCCAGCACAGTCTCCTGGACATAGCAGATGGTTGTTTAATAAATAGTTCTTAAACAAACTTGTGTGGTTAAACACAGGAATATTTTAGGGGAAATATCTAAAAAAAAATTCATTCAAAAAAAGGAAAATGAAAAACAATTTTACAATCTGGAAATGTGAACTGAAAGCCACTATTTTCCTTAGATATGATTTTCAGCAGTCAGCACAGTAAGAATGTCTATTAAAGGAAAGGAAAACAATATGTTCAGAAAACAGAACCCAGCTGTGCCATCTGAGAATTTGCAAGAGAGAAAAGAAAATCTTTGTTCACTTTATTGGACACCTTCTCTAAGCCAGGTGTAGTATATTTGCTATGCAATCTATCTCCCTTCCCATCCCTCTGAGATAGCTATGTGCTACTACAATCATTTTGTGATTAAAATTGCTGAGTGAGGGTACTAACCTTAGGGGGTTTGGATCAAATTTTGGTGTACCTTAGAATCAACTGAGGGGCCTACACTGTGGTATAGCAGGTAAAGCTGCTGCCTGTAGCACTGGCATCCCCATATGGACATCAGTTCGAGTCACAGTTGCTCTACTTCTGATACAGCTCTCTGCTATGGCCTGAGAAATTAGTGAAACATGGTCCAAGTCCTTGGGCCACTGCACCTGGAAGACCTGGGAGACCTGGAAGAAGCTCCTGGCTCCTGACTTTGGATTGGTCCAACTCTATCCATTGTGGCCATTTGGGAAGTGAACCAGCAGATGGAAGACCTCCCTCCCTTCCTCCCTCCCTTTATCTCTCTTTCTCCTCTCCTCTCCTCTCCTCTCCTCTCCTCTCCTCTCCTCTCCTCTCCTCCCCTCCCCTCTCCTCCCCTCCTCTCTCTATCTCTCTCCACCTCTCTCCACCTCTCTGTAACTCTGCATTTCAAATAAATAAATAAACCAGAAAAAAAAACAACCAGAACCAACTGAAAGACTGTTTATACTTGAAACCCCAGCCCACATCCTAGACCAATTAAATTGGAATCTTTGTGATTAGAACCCAGAGATAGGGATTATTTTAAGCTTCCAATGTTTCAGCCAAATTTAAGAGACAGTAATTTAACATTGTGTCCTGGTGTCTAGAATCACCAGAGAGCTTGTTAAAAATGCAGTACTTCAGGGCCTGCACTGATGCGTAAGAGGGTTAGGCCTCTGTCTCTGGCACTGGCATCCCATGTGGAGACTGGCTCATGTCCCAGCTGCTCCACTTCCAACCCAGTTCCTTGCTAGTGGCCTGGGAAAGCAGTGGAGGATGGCCCAAGTGCCTTGGCCCTGAACTCATGTGGGATACCTGGAAGAATCACC